AGCAAGCGAGGCCCGGTAGGCACAAGACCTAGCATAGTACAGAAACGTTGATGATCACAAGGCTGAAGTGCCTTGGTAGAGATATCAGCAGTGTTGGCCTGAGTGGCCACGTAAGCAAGACGAAGCTGACCACGCTGCTGCAACTCTCGAGCAAGGAAGTAGCGCAAAGCAATGTGCTTTGTTCTGTGCTCCAGTCTGTGCTCCTGACACAAGGCCAGCATGACCTTGTTGTCGACGTACAGAACTGGAGGAGAACGAGGCGCCTCTCCCAAGTCGGTCAGCAGGTAGGTGAGCCAGCGTAACTCCTGTGCAGCCATGGCCCCAGCGTAGATCGCAGCCTCACAACTGGAGCTGAGAACAGAAGACGAGCGGGTAGACCGCCACGAAACAGAGCCGGAACCAAGGCTGAAGGTCTAACCCTGTGACGACCGTTGCGTAGCCAAGTTGTCAACCCAAGAAGCGTCTGCGTGACCAGTGAGGACAACTCGAACCCGTTCTCCAAGCACGAGCCCCGTGCCTGACGTACTGCACAGGTAGCGCAACACCCTCTTAGCTGCAGCCATGAGCTCTGGTCGGTGTCTCCCAGGAGCAACATAGAGTGCCAAGATGCTAAGATGGTATGCCAAGTCAGGTCGAGTGCAGGTCATCAGGTACATGAGGCAGCCAACAAGCTCTGGGTACGGGCCACTCGGCTCTACGGACTCATCCGAAGGCAGAGCTGAGAGCGAGTGGCGAGTAGACAGAGGAGTGGCCTGAGGCGAGGAGTACGTGAAGTCAAAGCGCTGAAGGACCTGCTGCACCATGTGTGACTGAGTCAAAGTAATGGTGCGCCGTGCTCTATCCCGAAAATCTGCAAGCCAAGATAGCAGCGCAGTTCACCCTGGTCTGTGCACGTGTCTCCTCTGGTTGCTGAGGTAGTCAGGGTGTACAGGCTCAACCCAGGCTCACGAGTGAACGTGGCCAGGTGCCGGCCCGTCCGAGTACACGAACAGTGGGTCACCCGCTGACCTCCAGGAGTGAACTGGTCAACCCAAGTGTCCTGAAGGTCAGCACCACTCACCAAGTTCGTGGAGAACGAGGGGAGGTGGAGGCCAGACAGAGAGCCAGACGGGACCGCCGGACACGGCAGAACCGTGGAGGAGTGTGCAAGGACCGGACCCCTAGAGGGGTCAGCCAGAGAGACTGCCACCGGCCGACTGAGCGGTGTGAGTGTGGTGCAGTCGCGAAAGAAGGATCAGGAAGCTCCTGAGTCAAGCGTAAAGGTGTGCAAGGCCGCAGCAGGCGCCGTACGTGAGAGAGCAGACTCAACAGCACCTGGAGCAGTAGACTCACTAGCGCCTAGAGCAGTAGCCTCACCGGCACCTGGAGCAGGAGACGCACCAGCACCTAGAGCAGCAGCCTCACCTGTACCTAGAGCAGCAGACTCTATACCTCGGTCAGGCGGCACACACAGGTAACAGGCACCCTCAGCACTAGTAGGCAATGCATACATGGCAGTGAGGATAGCATCATAGTCAAGAGCAAATATATCTACTCTCTGTCTAAGCAGCTCCAGCCAGGAGGGGAGCTCAGCGTCGTCGCCAAACTCTGTACGCCAGGCGTCGCTCAGACCGGAGAAGCAGCAGGACTGTGTGAGACCAACTGTCCCACACGGCTGACCAGCCCGAGCACCTGTGCGAATGACGTACGGGCAGTGAGCAGTACTCCGTGACCCTCTACTCTGAGCGTACCACTCACGAAGCTGCTGGGGCGAAAGGACCTCGCGCGGACGCCGCTGCAGCTGCACCTGGCCACTACAAGAAGCTCCCGACTGACCAGCTCCAGGGCGACTGCCACTACGGCCGCCGCCACAACCCCAACTAGCGTACCACTCACGAAGCTGCTGGGGCGAAAGGGTCTCGCGCGGACGCGCTGCAGCTGCACCGGGCCACTACAAGAATCTCCCGAACGACCCGCTCCAGGGCGACTCCCACCACGGCCACCCCTACAACCCCAACTAGCGTACCACTCACGAAGCTGCTGGGACGTGAGGGACTCACGCGGACGTCACTGGAGCTGCATCTGGCCACCGCCAGTAGCAGCAGGAGTGGCAGTGCAGCAGTAGCAGAAGTGACAGCTGGAACAGCAGTAGCAGCAGGGCAGAGGAGCGCGGCTCAGTAGGGCAGGGCGGCGCGGCTCGGCCGGCAGGCAGGCGCGGCACGCGCGGCAACACGCTGGTAAGGCAGGCGCGCGGGCAGTGCGGGTAGGGCAGGTGCTCACCAGAGGCGGGTAGGGCAGATGCCACCGGCGGCGGTGGGCAGGAGCTCAACGGGTGGCTGCAGGCGCTCGACGCGCGGCTGCAGCGGGGCCGCAACGGCGGTTACGACGGGGCCGCGACGGCAGCTGCAGGCATGACGGCAGCTACGGCTGGGCAGGGCCGCGACGGCGGCTACGGCGGGGCCGCTACGGCAGGGCAGGGCAGGGGCGGCCGCCCCAAGGGCGGGTGCGGGGTGGGGCAGGGCGCAAGCGGGCTGCAGATGAGGTAGGGTGGCAGCCAGGGGGGGGGGAGGGGCGCCGCGACGAGCAGGGACGGCGCCCAGGGGGCGCCGCGGCGAGCAGGGGCGACGCCGCGCGGGTCCCGCAGGGGCGTCGCGACGAGCAGGAGCGGCACCACGCGGGTCCCGTAGGGGCGTCGCGACGAGCAGGGGCGACGCCCGGGTCCCGTAGGGGCGTCGCGACAAGCAGGAGCGGCGCCGTGAGGGTCCCGCAGGGGTGTTGCGACGAGCAGGGGCGACGCCCGGGTCCCGCAGGGGCGTCGCGACGAGGAGGAGCGGCGCCGTGCGGGTCCCACAGGGGCGTCGCGACGAGCAGGGGCGGCGCCCGGGATCCAGGGGCGGTGTCGCGGGGTCCAGGGGCGGCGTCGCGGGGTAGGGGCAGGCCCGCGCTCGGCCTGGAGGGCAGGGTGACGGGCAGGCGCTCGAGGGCGCGGGTAGGGCAGGCGCTCTAGGGCGCGGGTAGGTAGGCGCAAGGCGCGTGACGGGGCAGGCCCGCGCTCGGCCTGGAGGGCAGGGCGACGGGCAGGCGCTCGAGGGCGCGGGTAGGGCAGGCGCTCGAGTGCGCAGGTAGGTCAGGCGCTCTAGGGCGCGGGTAGGCAGGCGCAAGGCGCGTGACGGGGCAGGTATGCACGGCAGTGCGCTTCGGGCAGGGCAGAAAAAAACAAAGTTCGTGGTGGGCCCTAAAAAAACGTTCCCACTAGGGAACCTGCTCTGAAACCATGTGAAAAGTTAGAACGAGGAATGGGTGCATTGAGCAGCATGAGGAGTACAAATAGGAAACCCTAACACTACTGTTCCCCATAAGGAGTGCCCCACTACAGCCTACAATATGGTTCTGACAAATTGAAGTTACCGTCTCCAACAATTACACGATTTGGGCAAAACGTTGCGGCGATACAACTTGAATCCTATGACATCAACTTCTCGATTCACATCAGCAACGTCCTCGTTGCCCCAAACCTCCGGTTCAACCTTCTCTCCGCTGCCAAACTAATGAAGTGCGGAGTCGAGCTGCAATTCACACGAGATGGAAGTTTACTTATTTTACGAAGGCTCCCTCATCGGAAAGGCGAAGAGAACCGTGTGTTTGTTTTGAATTTTTTCGTACCGCTGGACCCGCTAGCGCGCTTGTCTGCAAGTCCGCTAGAGGACCCGCCAGCGCAAGCATCAGTAAGCCCGCAGGCGGACCCGCCAGCGCGCGCATCAGCAAGCCCGTCGACGGACCCGCCAGCGCGCGAGTCAACAAGCCCGTCGATCAAACCGCCGACGGACTCGTCACTGTGCCCACCAATGGACTCGCCAGCGAATCCGCCGACGGACCCGCCAACGAGTCCGCCAGTGAACCCGCCAACAAGCGGACCCGCGAGCCCGCCACTAAGCAAGCCGACGGACCTTTGCGAATGTGGATGTGGTGGGGGAGGTGGTGTGGAAGAAGTGGCCGTCGTGACCTCCCTGCGCTTCCTCACCTGTCCCGCCCCTGCGCGTTTGCAGCGGCAGTCGCTGTGTGGGGGAGGAAAGGGGGAAGGGGGTGACGGCGGGACATCCGCCAGCCATAGCCGCACTGCCGACCATCCCTCCATCCCTCCCCCCTCTTCCGTCGCCTTTCCTTCCGCGACTGCGGGAGTGGGGGGGGAGGTGGCGTGGAGGGGGTGGCCGCGTGAGCCCTTGCAGCCCCACCCTCTGCCCTGCCTCTCCCCTCCTATGGCTACTGCCGTAGGGGGGAGTGTTAGAAGGAAATGCTGCCATGAGCAACAAAATGTCTGCGCTGGGATTCGAACTCGTGACCTTCAAATCTGTCCTGAAAGTGTCTCAGGACAGATTCAGGACAGTTTCTGCTAAGGCGCTGGTTATGGTACACGCGAGTTTCGAACTGGAGACCTTTCGATTCAAGTGTCCCGAAAGTGTCTTGTCAGGACAGATTGGGGACAGTTTGGGGACAGATTGGGGACAGTTTGGCGAAATCGATCTCGGGTCGCGTTCGGTTTGAAACTCGGCAGCGAAGTGTCGAAGTCAACGGAATTCGCACGGGAGTTACAGTCGGTGGTCGACGGAATTCTTGTCGCGGAAATTCTCGTCTACGGAATTCCAGTCAATGGAATTTGCTCGGCGAAATTCAAGGCTCCGAATTTCGCGTCGACGAAATTCAACGTGCGACTCGGGTCGACACTTTCTTGTGTGCTTTTATTTTGTATTGCGTCCTAGTATAAAACCAGAGGGCACAAACCAGAAATCAACCAAGTCATTATCACTGCTATGTTTGTGTGTAACTCTGGCTATAGTGGACCGTTTCCTGCAATCTTTGGTGTGTTAGAATCGTGCTTTCAAGCTCTATCAAGCTGCTATAGTAGTGGAATTCTACATGGTATCAGAGCTGCGTTATCTGCGTCGATCCAACTAGCGGCTTGATTCCGTCCTCCCATCGCTTCGTTCCCACATTGGTGTGGCGGACGCTCGTTTTGACCGCGGATGGAGTGGTTAACGAGCGCCGAGGGCCTGAATGCCTGTCAGGAGCTGGAGGCGTCCGTTCGTGAGCACCACCCGAACTTGCGTGATGAGGAGGTCGACCTCATTGTGGATGGTCGTCTACTATGCATGGTTCGGGAGCGCGCGGCGGAGCAAGCACCTGCGAGTGGCCAGCAAGGAGGAACCAGTGAAGGAGGAGCTGTGCACGAGGCTCCAACTGTCGTGGGCGTTGGTGGAGGAGCTGTTGCACCGACCATTGACACGGGAATGATCGGGGCGAGCTACGACCAATTCAAGTTTGGAGTAGAGCACATCTCCGTGATGCCGCTGCTAGAGGGAAGGCACGACCTTACTGCGTGGGTCAGCGCCATCCGACCTCAGCTCCAGTGTGCTGATTTGTGGCAGTTTTGCAACGGGACAGCACCAAGACCGGCCCCGAACAACCCCTTGCAACGAAGGGAGTACGCAAAGGGCCAAATGCTTGCATTCATGGTGCTGAACCGATGTGTTTCTCCACCCATCCGAATGTCCATCTCTGGTTTCTCTCAGCAAGAGAAAGCCGGGCAGCTAGCATGGGCATATATCTTGTCTACTTATCAAGTTCGTGATGCCCTCCACGCTTCCCTACTTCAGACCCAGTTAGCCCAACTCAGGAAGGGAGATGATGAGACGGCGGAATCCTACTGCAATAGGGCCCGCACTATCCGAGCGGAGCTGCTGACCATTCGACAGGAGGTCCACATGGCCACGTTTGCCGCCCACGTGCTGAAGGGCCTACCACCGGAGTACGGATTTCTTCGCCGCAAGCTCGAAATTTCCAGCCCTGACATGACGGTGGAACGCGTGTGCAGCGAGGTATTGATGGAGGAGCAGACTCTCTCCATCGAACAGAGTTACAAGCAGATCACCAGCGATGCATCTGCTTTCTCGGGCGCTGTCAACACCATCGTGGCTACAACGGGGGTCAACGGGAAGGAAGGAAAAGGAGGAAGGGAGCAGACGGACAAGAAGAAGGATGGCAAGCGGGAAAAGAAGCGAGCCCCCTTCAAGGGGCGCTGCTACAACTACAATGAGGAGGGGCACATGGCTGCAAAGTGCCCCAACAAGAAGAAAGTTACAACGCCCGCGGCAGCCGCGAACGTAGCTGAAGGAGACGGGAAGGGCGTGGCGCTCACCGTCGCGTGTTCGGCTGCAAAGTTGCTGGCCGACGACAAGGACTTGTGGTTTCTTGACTCAGGATGCTCCCAACACATGACCGGCCGCAAGGAGTGGTTCACGGTGATCCGTGACCCATCTGCAACGAAATCAGTCAAAGGGTTTGATGGTTCTATGCAGGAAGTTGCCGATGTTGGTGAGGTTTTGCTGGAGGGCACTAACAGCTTGCGTGTGACCCTACATGATGTCCTCTTTGTGCCAGGAATGAAGGCCAACTTGGTCTCCCCTGGGCAGCTCTTGGACAAGGGAGCAAAGCTGCAAACCGAGGAAGGTGTTACTCGCATCATCGCATTAGGAGGTCAAGTGGCTGCAACGGCACGATACCGCCATCGCCTTCACTGCCTTGACCTGAAACCGGGGCCAACAAGGAACGGTGCAACGGCTGCAGCGGCATGCAACGGCACGGCGGCTGCAGTGGCATGCAACGGCACAGCGGCTGTAGCGGCATGCACCAATATGGCGGGTGGAGCGGCGAGCAACAGCACAGGGGCTGCAGCGACATACAACGGCACGGCAGCTGCAGCGGTATGCAACGGCAGGGCGGCTGCGGCGGCATGCAACGGCAGGGCGGCTGCGGCGGCATGCAACGGCACGGTGGCTGCAGCAATATGCAACAATACGGCAGCATGCTATGGCATGGCGGCTGAGGTGGCATGCAACGGTATGCCTAAGGCATTTGCTGAGGTGGTGTCAAGCGCGCCGGAAGAGAATGACGAAGCGGCCAGCCTCACAACATATGCGGTGGGGACCGAGGCGATGCTCAACCTACGGCACACTCACCTTGAGAATGACCATGCTGGTGCGGTGCAGTGGACAGCCACAAACAGTGGCATGCTAGGCATGGACCTAGAGAAAGGAGGGGAGGACACGTCGAGCGCCTCCTCCCAAGAAGCCAAACTCACTCGTCAAACGCTTCCGCTACCTGACGAGCGAGAGGGGGAGGTTCTTGGGATGGTCCATGGCCCTGGGCAGAATCAACCGCCGTCACGTACCGTCATCATAATCACAGTGCCGTCCGTGCAAGGGGGCGAACAACCGTTTGATCGTTCGGTTGACCCTGCGGGCAGCAACGCAACCATGGCTCCACCAGCTCTCTGTCCATCCTTAGCTGCTGGCTTGGCACCTGTGGGACCAGAGGTTGGTCCCTCCGCGGATGAACGTCGTGCAGCTGATGAAGACAAGGAAGGAGAGGCAACGGACCTGAAATCGGCGGCAACCCATGGGAAGGACCCCATACCCACGGTTCCGCCCCTCCAGCCCACTCCCCCACCCCCATGTCATTCTAGCAGGTCCAACAAGGGTATGCCACCTGTACAGTTTCCCACATCAACCATGACGGCCTCGGATGCGGATGATGGCAACAACATGTACGACATGGCATTCCTTGCTGGAGGTGTTTATGGCACGGACATCTACTATGATGTGGAGTACTTGGATGAGGTTGATGAGGAGGAAGGGGGATTGGGGAGCGTCATCATCAACCTCGGAGTAACCTTGACCGGACCTGAAGGCAAGGTGGTGGACAAAGGTCTCCTCGTGGTGGAATACATGTCATCCACGGAAGGCTATCTTGGTCTGCAGATTGTGCGCGACCGCCCCAACAAGTCACTCCTCCTGCACGAGAATGCATATGTGGCGAAAGTGCAGCAGCGGTTCTTCAAGGGGGCGCCACCGAAGAAGCAACCGATCACCCCTCTCTCCTCTACCAGCTTTGTCATGGAGGATGCTGAGCTGTTTGCCGATCGCACCATGACCGACCGCCTTGCAGCAGGTGCACACCTCAGGACGGATGCGCATTGGCATGAGCTCTTCCGCACACTCTCCTACTGGGCTGCCTCACCGGACATGGGGCTGCTGTTCAAGGGAGGACCAGAGAGTTTGACTCTCGTAGGGTATGCGGATGCGGATGATGCGGGCGACAAGGAGAACCGATCGTCCACGGGAGGCTACCTCTTCAAGCTTGGCGGAGCTGCCGTTTCATGGCAGGCCAAGAAGCTGCAGGGTGCGACCAAGCTCTCCTCCACCAAGAGCGAGCTTGTGGCTGTGGTGGAAGCGGGAAAGGAGGGGCGCAAGCTAAGGTTCCTGCTGTGGGAGTTTCAACTGCTCAAGAAGGGTGTCCCCACCACCCTGTTCGTCGACAACATGTCAGCGGTGCAGCTCAGCCAAGCGGGCGGGCTGCAGGGGCGCATGAAGCATGTGGACCATCGCCACATGTGGCTACAGGACATGGTGCGCATGAAGAAGTTGGAGGTGCAGCACATCCCTACAATGGCGCAGCCCGCGGACTTCTTCACGAAGCGGCTCGACAAGGCAGCCTTCAACCGTTGCTGTGCAGCAGCCGGGCTGGTCCAGCGTGCTCCTGACAGCAAGGGGGCGTGTTAGAAGGAAATGCTGCCATGAGCAACAAAATGTCTGCGCTGGGATTCGAACTCGTGACCTTCAAATCTGTCCTGAAAGTGTCTCAGGACAGATTCAGGACAGTTTCTGCTAAGGCGCTGGTTATGGTACACGCGAGTTTCGAACTGGAGACCTTTCGATTCAAGTGTCCCGAAAGTATCTTGTCAGGACAGATTGGGGACAGTTTGGGGACAGATTGGGGACAGTTTGGCGAAATCGATCTCGGGTCGCGTTCGGTTTGAAACTCGGCAGCGAAGTGTCGAAGTCAACGGAATTCGCACGGGAGTTACAGTCGGTGGTCGACGGAATTCTTGTCGCGGAAATTCTCGTCTACGAAATTCCAGTCAATGGAATTTGCTCGGCGAAATTGAAGGCTCCGAATTTCGCGTCGACGAAATTCAATGTGCGACTCGGGTCGACACTTTCTTGTGTGCTTTTATTTTGTATTGCGTCCTAGTATAAAACCAGAGGGCACAAACCAGAAATCAACCAAGTCATTATCACTGCTATGTTTGTGTGTAACTCTGGCTATAGTGGACCGTTTCCTGCAATCTTTGGTGCGTTGGAATCGTGCTTTCAAGCTCTATCAAGCTGCTATAGTAGTGGAATTCTACAGGGAGGTGGCGGGGACAGGGGGTGGGGGAGAGGTCTGGCCGCTGTGTGAATGGCTCTACAGGGACTACCGTGGGTGGGGAAGGGTCTGGAGGAAGGAAGGGGGGAAGGGAGTGAGGTTTCAGGGGGGTGGCTGATACGGGGGGTGAGGTTAAGGGGGGTGGTTGATTGGGGGTGGGGATGTGGGGGTTAGTAAAAGGGGATCGCCACGGCTACCCCCCCACCTCCTCTCCTCATCTTTCACTCACCTCCCACTTTGTAGAAGGGGGTTAGTAAGAGGGGATCGCCGCGCTACCCCCCCACCTCCTCTCCTCATCCCTCACTCACCTCCTCCTTTGTTCTTACCTCCTCTCCTCTCCTTTCTCTCTCTCACCTCATCCTTCTCACTTACCTCTCTGCCGTCTTAGACCGCGTCAGGCTTACCCCTTCAGGAAGTGTTGACAGCACTAGTTCCTACTTCAAGTAGGCTAAGGGGGCGCGATAAAGTTCTATTTGATATTGATCCTGCTTGCTAGTTACTGTAGTGTCTGTACCTCTTGTTGGTGGTGTACCACCTCCTGGTCAATTCTCTCGACCCTTACTCTTGCCACCCTCGTCACCCGCTTGACCTAGGCTTCTAAGCCTAGGCCCCTTTGAACCCGGTTCCTAGCTTATATTCGTCTCAGGCCCATCGTCCCGTACTCGCCCATTGTAACCCGTTTCCCATAGCGCCCCATCGATTTTCGTGCCCCGTACCTAGGATCCCGCAGCCCGAACGCGCCACGACTTTGTCAGGGCTCTGTGGGCCCACGAAATCATCCTAGAACGACCCCCGCGGGTCCCCCTTCCCTCTTCCCCGTCGTCGCGACCTAGGCGCGCACGCGCACACGCACGCTAAGAAAGGCCCCCTACGTGCCCGCTAGATCACCTCCCCGTCCCCTTTCCCGTCGCCTCCCCGTCCACATTTCGCATCGCCTCCCATTCCCCAATTTCCCGTCGCCTCCCTGACCCCTTTTCCCCTCGCCTCCCGTCACCTCCCGCCCCCTTTCACGTCGCCTCCCCGTCGCCAGCCCGTCCCCTCTCGTCGCCTCCATGTCCCCATCCCGTCGCCTCCCCCTTCCCTCTCGACCGTTTTCCCGTCCCCTCCCCGTCCTGTACCCGCCGCCCCACCCTGTAACCGCCGCCCCACCCTTATCCCGCCGCCGCACCCTGTAACCGTCGCCCCACCCTGAACCCGCCGCCGCACCCTGAACCCACCACCCCACCCTGAACCCGCCGCCCCACCTTGTAACCGCCGCCCCACCCTGAACCCGCCGCCGCACCCTGAACCCGCCGCCCCACCCTGAACCTGCCGCCCCGCGCTGTACCTGCCGCCCCACCCTGTGACCACCGCCTCACCCTGTACCTGCCGCCCCAGCTGACCACTCCCCACCGCTCTTGACCGCTTCCCACCACTCAAGACCTACCAGAACTGCTCCCTACCGCACTAGACCCCCTCTCAACCGCACTCAACTGCACTGAACAGCTTCCAGTTGCGCTCAACCGCTTCCAGCCGCGCTCAACCGCACTGGACCGCGCTAGACCGTACCTGTATCCATACCCGTTACCCACTACTAGTACCCGTACCCGTCTTCCCTACCCGTACCCGCTACCAGAACTGGCCACCCGTACCAGTACCTCACTAGCTACACGTCCCTACGTCATGTTCTACCATCTCTTTTTCCCGAGCTGTCCTCTTTTGACCGTTTTTTATCTCATTCTGCACTTGCGCTCGCTCAACGCTGGGCTTCGCGCTGCTGCCCCTGACCAGTCCTTGCTTGCTACCATGCCCCCTGCGATCTGGATGACAGTGTACCTCCTCGTCACCCACCTCCCCGACCGCTTTGCCTCCGCTCGTGACCACTTTCCCACTATCAACCCTATGACCCTCACTATTGACCTCTTTCAAAAGAGGCTCCTTTCTGTAGAGGAACATGCCCGCTCCTTGTTGCTGCGACCAGTACGGTCCTCCCCCCTATCTTTCAGGGGTGTGCCCCCTCCTTCCTTGCCTCCCCTCTGGCCACTGCCTCTGTTGATACTGCGACAGGGATTGCAGCAGCTGCATCTGGCAACAAGGGGGGCAAGAAAAGTGTCAAGAAAGGAGGAGGTGGTGGTGGCAGTGGGGGAGGCAGTGGGGGGTGGTTGAGGAAGGGGTGAAGGTGGCAGTGGAGGAGGAGGTAGTAGAGGAGGCGGTAGTGGAGGAGGATTCAGTGGAGGAGGAGGTAGTGTGGAGCCCCAGCAGCAGCAGCAGCCACAGCAGCTTCAGCAGCAGCTGCAGTCGCAGCCACAGCAGCAGCAGCAGGAGCAGTCTCAGTCGCAGTGTTAGGAGAGAGTAGAGGAGTCCAGCCCGAGCAGGAGAGAATAGAAGAGGAGTCACGACTGCAGCAGCAGGGGCAGTGCGCTGCAGCAGGAGAGAGCAGAGGAGGAGTCACGACCGCATTAGGAGAGGGTAGAGCAGGAGTTCCGACCACAACAGCAGGTGCAGCTGCAGCCGCAGAACGAGAGGGCAGAGGTTGAGCGATCCGGAGCCACCGGACGAGCAGTAGGGGCAGGTGCCACCGCAGCAAACGCTTGAGGAGGCGGAGCAGCAGCGACTACGCGACCTGCCCGACCCTGCACCTGCACATTGGGTTCGTGGTCCCCTACCGTCCCCTCCTTTCCCCCTATTCAGTCCCTTTCCTCTTCTTTGTAGGCTCGTCGTGCTCCCCTCAGTCGTGCTATGTCCCCAGAGCCTCGTCGGTCTCGTTGCCGTGCAGACGGCCTGTTTCACCTTGTTCTCCGCTCTCGTGTTCCGCCTCCTCTAGTCCTCCCGTAGCCTCCTGAGTCGTCCCTCACTGTGTTTCATGACCCGTTGTCCGACTACCTCCATGTATCCTGTCCTGTTGTCTCCCATATTGTGTCCGCATTGGTCACTCACCCGATTGCCCCTCCGCTGTCTGTCTCGGCCCTTGTCACTATTGTCAGTGCCTTTGCGTCTTCTCACCACCTAGACATCGCCGCCCACCTGGTGAGCGGCCTTGCTCTTTCTCTATGCACTAGGGGTGCTCCTGTTTTTCCCTTGGAGGTCTTGGAGGACCGGCAGTTCCAGCTTGGTTTCCTTGCGGCCGCTGTTCCTCATCTCTGCGCCATGCTGCTTGCCCATGAAGGGGATCAAGACGCCCTAGACATCCGATCCCTCGCACACACGCCAAGGCGGTCTTGGGCCCTTGGGCCTTGTACTGGATAGCAACTGAGGAGGCAGAGATGGCATCTTATAGGTGCACATGTACCTACGTCGACGCCATCCCACCACCCGGGGCTCTACAAGGTGAAACGGCCGCTGGTGTTCAACTGGTGTTTAAGGCGCGCTACGTACCAAGAGGCTTCAGTCAGCGGAAGGGAGTAGACTTCTTCCAGACCTTTGCTCCCACCCTGAAGATGACCACTCTTCGGGTGTTGCTGCATATTGCAGCTCAGCGCGACTACGAGTTGCACTCCTTGGACTTCTCCACAGCGTTCCTTCAAGGGAGCCTGCACGGGCAGATCTGGCTGCATCGCCCGCCTATCTTCACTTACTCTTTCCCTGCGGGGACCTAGTGGCAGCTGCGTCGACCGGTATACGGCCTGCGCCAGGCTCTCCGTGAGTGCATGACACACTTCGCACGACTCTTGCAGTGCTTGACTTCTTTCCGTCGTCTGCTGACCCGTCGCCCTTCACCGCAACTCGACCCCGTTCTTTGTTCTGGTTTACGTTGATGACCTGGTTTTCGCCACTCCCGACTGACGCGCACTGGACTCAGTGAAGGAGGAACTGCAGAGGAGACACAGTTGCACTAAGCTTGGTGAGCTGCGCTACCTTGGCTTGCAGATCACTATGGACAGGGCAGCTCGCACCATTACGCTGACGCAGTCGCATATGGTCAAGCAGATTCTCACGTGGTTTTATCTCATGTACATGATGACCTGTACTCGCCCAGACTTGGCCTTCCCTCTTAGCGTCCTTGCGCGATTTGTTGCGTTGAAGAGACACTGACCTTCTCACTGGTTGCTAGCCAAGAGAATGGCGAATTATATGGAGAGCACATCAGGCATTGCTGCGACTAAGGACGGAGTATAGGAAGATTAGGGGCCGAAATATCACAAAATCATTGGACTAAAATTCTGGATAGAAACGTGGAGTTCACAAGAAACGCAGTCGACAAAACGTTCAGTATTAAGAATTGCCCAAACCCATATATGTTGTAGCCCTAGACCAGCTACAGATGCCAATTTGAATCATACGGAAAGGTGAAGTACAATTCGAGTTATGAATTTTGGCGCACTAGGGGGTATGCTGCCATGGAAACTTAACTCAATCACAATATTCTCCCAAGAACCACACAAGAGAATTAGAGTAGCAATCAACCAGGTAGGAGGGAAGAGGAGGACGAGAGAGAAGGTCCCCAAGGAGTTCCCAACCATGGAAATCCTATAAGCTCATAAATTCCCTCTCTATAGGAACCCAACTCTCACCCTTGTCATTTTCCCAACCCATGCCATCCACCTCACCCAACTTGGCCGCACTTGCCAACCTGGTTTGCCTTCCCCCAACCACTTGGCATCATCTACAGTGATGGGGACGAATTTCCAAAAATCATTACCCCATATAGAGTCACTCCACGACTTCCCAAAGTCGTCGCATCACAATCAAAGCTTTGAACGATCATAACTTTCTCGTTCTTGCTCCGATCACGACGTTTCTTGGTTCGTCGGAAAGCTCTCAAGAAAAGAAGTCATTTCAGATATCGGATTGGAAAAAAAAAAAACATTCACACACACGCAGAGATTACAAACCACACCGAACACAAATTCTTGCACACGCTCACACCACGCACGCATCGCACAAATGTATAATGGGAGGCAGACAGACGTGAATGCAAATGATAGCATCGTATAACAAACTCCCCCTCTGGCTGCCTACCATCATTCCACATGCCATTGCTCAAGCATGCACCCTCAATGCACACTCATTCCAGCAAGCTTCATGCCCTTCCAATGCTCAGGTTCAGCCAGGCACTCGGTGAGAACGTCAGCCGCCTGCTGATCAGTCTTCACAATCTCCAGTTGCACCTCCTTTTCCAGAAGCCTCCTCACCCAATAC